CACACACACACACACACACACACACACACACACAGAGCAAGGGGCCAAGCCCTTGCCCCACTCTGCTCCAGGGTTATCAGGATCCCGGCCGTGAGGCGGTCTGGGGCCGAGCCCTGACAGCCAGATGTACCATCAATTTACCTTCCGCTGCTCCAGCTTCCCATTTAGCTTTTAACGTCAAATCCTACATTTTTGTCGGCTCCGGCCTGTCTAGAACGCTTGTGATTTCCCTGCAGGAGTGATTGCTCTTAACAAAATGGCAGCAACCACATTATCCGAGCAATTAAAACAGGCCTTTTAGCTGGTCCGAAAGCAGAAACTTTTTTTTTTTTTTAAGCAAAGAAGAAGGGGAGTTAAAAGAGAAAGAAGCCTAGAGGGGAGGAAAGCAGGGAAACCCAGGAAGAAATGTCTGCTCAGTGAGGACCTCTCGTTGGCCAGACTTGGCAACTCAGGGCACGGAGATTTGGAGTGGCTGAGATCCTCAGATGGTTGGGCTTCTGGGTGACTGGGGTGGCGCATAATCTGTGGTGTCTTGCAGATTGAAAAGTCGGGTTAACTGGGTTGTGTGTCCCGTTAGGAGGATGGACATAGCGCTGGTGGGGGTATCCCATCTGTTGCCTGTCTGGCCGGTTGGGGTCTGGTGGTGGGTTGACATGGCCAGGCAGATGTGGGGGTCAGCCTGGTGCCTGCTGCAGACCACCAGTAAGAGCTCGAGGCCAGAAGGCCGGCAACCGCTGCTGGGGCCAAACAAAGAGGGTGGATGTGGGGAGCTCGAGTTTAAAAATGCACGTGTGGTAGGAGGCTGCTTCCAGCCATGGTGCACCAGGATTTTTTTTTTTTTGGTTTCCCCCCTTGGCGGTGTTTCAGCAACCAGAAATAGTGTTAAAACCAGCAAACCCGAGTTAAGGCCCAGATGGCTAGGACCCAAGGCAGCACCGGCTTCTGTGCGTGGTGAAAAGAACTTGTGTCTGGTTCCTTGGTTCCTCTTTTAAAAACCTCACCTCGTCCACCACCATTTACTGAGACACTTTGGTAGACGCCTTCCTTCCACCTCTAGGACCTGAAGACAGCAAAATAAAGATGCAGAAGGCAGCTGTAGGCCAGAGACAGGGGGGAGGGAGCCACGCGGTCAAACCCACAGAGATTGAGAAAACGACAGAAAATCAGGGCGCGCCTCTCCCCAGGCCCCAGTGCTGTAAACAAAGGCAAGTGTCTGTAAACTCAGCCCTGAGTCCAGCGCCCGCTGACCCGAGGGGAGAAAGTTCAGATCGCTTTGGCCGAGTTGTTCTAACCCCTCACCCTCCTGTTGTCAGCCGCCGGCTGAAGTCCGCAGAGCCACTACCTCGTGTCCCCCAGCCCTTGTGAATTCGCCCACGCCTGGCCGGACCCGCGCAATGCAGGAGGCTGGGGCAGAGTGGGCAGCGCCAGGCCCACCGTGGGGATAGGGCAGGAGTGTCTGTGCTGCAACCCCGGACTGATGGTGGGTTGCAAGATGGAAATCCTCAAGGTAGGCTTCTCTAACACCAGATTTATTTACGTGAGGTTGCATGGAACAAACCTCTTTTTAATACGTTTCACCTTTCTCCCCCATTCCCCATGCCCCAAAGCCTCCTCCCCTGCTCCAGCGTGCACACTCAGGCACTAGGGTTTCTCTGATTTCTAGAGCGGATGGATATTCAAGCTCCAACCGAACCCTCAGGCGAAAGAGGCGAGAAGGCCTCGGGTATTGTACTGGGCTGAGCTGGTCTGGTTCAGCAGACCAAAAGGGAGAAGTCCCCCTAAGGATGGTGGCCTGGGGCGTTGCTGGCTCTCTGGGCTGCGCCAACGACTTCAGACACCGCACAGTCCATATTGGGTTCCCCACAACTCCTTGTAAATCTAACCCACCTCTCACCGCCCCCTTAAATCCGTGGTCTTGTTCGCGATTTCTTACTTGACGTAAAATTCCTTGTTACCTAATCAGGGACTCCCCCTGCACCAAAGCCGACTCCTTTGCCCCAACCTCCTTAGATAAAAATCCCCCTGTCTAGATTCCAAGCGGAATCTCCTCGCTTTCTCCCCCTTTTTTGTTTCTTCGATGAAAGCTCTATATTTTGAATCAAACACCCCAGACTAGTTTGCAGCGCCCGGAGTCCTAGGGCACAGCTCCTCCACAGAGATGCACTTCTCAAACAGAACCGAAGCCCCCACCAGAAGGCAACTGGTGAACCTCAGGAAAACTCTCTGAGTTGGAGGTTCTCTTGTCCGGAACCTCTCAGCACTCTCCTCGGAACTGGGGGGCCGGGGCAGAGAAATGGCTTGGACAGCGCTCAGGCCTCTTAGCAAGACCTTCTCAAGGGACACTTATTTTAAAGAGCACCTCCTGGCCCTATGAGGACCACAGGTCACCTTGACAGGTCGCAACCACGGACTCTTTAAAATAAAGTTAGAGGCAATCACGATAATTTAGTTTACTTCTGGAAATTTTTAAATATTATGAAAACAAGTAGAACAGGTTTGTTTTCAAAACTTTTTGAGGTATTGACCATTAAAAGATTAGGGTTTTGTTAAAAAAACAACAACAGCACAGTGGTTTATTGAATACTTACAACGTTTACACCTTCAATATTAATTAATTCCATTTAGTTTTAGAGGACAGGAGTGCACAAAACAAGTAGCTGTTGGAAACATCTTCGAACAGGGAAGGACCACAGATGAAACGGCAGCACTGGATACCAACCCAACAGAAATGTTAGCGGCCCTGCGCTCGGCTTTGAAATAAAACTCTGTAATCCCCAGAAATATTTATACCCAAAGGCCGTGTGGTAAAGATACACTTTACAAACGCGCTAGTCGCTAGTGTCCGCTGTCTTTATCCGGAGAGGGCTGAGGGAGTGGGAAAGGGACAACGTCGGTGTCTACACAGCCAGGAGGGACCATTCACACAGAGAAGCTACAAGTCGATGCGATCCCTTACCGCGCAGGACTGTCCTCTTCTTATTAAAATATGGAATGCTTTTCTTCAAATATCCATTTTTGGAGAGGGAAGTGGGGAGCGCTGCCTCAAAGGGGGGGGGGCAAAGAGCGGGGAAGGAAATTGCACATAAATAAACAGGATGGTTCCAAACGTAAGGAGTTCGCAGAGCGCAGGAACGAGGAGGGCTGGCCAGAGTCCTGCCCCTGCGTCTGGCGCCTCGGCGGCCCGGGCTCCCTCGCGCTCTCCTCCGGCACCGCCTCCTCTTCCTCCTCACTGCTTGAGCTCCAGGGCCCAGACGTGCTGCGGCCAGCCCGTCCGCCCTTTGGTTTTCTTGTCGCTGCTGCTTACTGTGCTTTTCAAGATTTCGTTCTGGGCAAAGGGGAGTTGAGGGCGAGAAAAGTGGGAAGAGAAATTCAAAGAGGATACGTGGTACCGGTCCCAAGCCACCCTGGCGCTTCCCGGACCAGAGGAGACGCCAAGCAAGGGAGGAAAGGAAAGGGAGGAGGATGGGCTCAGATCTCAGCCCTTGCACCCCAGCACCTCAGCACCCCTCCCTTGCACAAAAGCTATGAAGTCTGCGCTGCCCCAGCTACACCAAGGCCTCCACGTAGCCAAGCGCTCCTTCCCAATCCACAGCTTTATAAACAACTGCCTCGTTTTCCAGTCGTTTCTGGAGGAGCTGGGGGCCTTTTCGCTGACTCCAGGAGTAGGGGCCGTGGAGAGGGGGTTGGCGCTAAGTCTGGGTTCCCTGTTTTCAATAGCAATCCCAGATGCACACTCTAGGAAAAACGGGGCGAAGGTCCCCGAATCCCGGCTCAGCCTGGGGGCCTGGTCCTCTCCTTCAAGGCCTCTGAAATCTCTGGTTATGCGGGAGGTCACTCAATTATGCGACAACCAAAGGGTTGTAGGGCCCCAAGGAAGAAAAACTAGACAGAATTATTTTCTAGGCCTTTGTGGCAATAACTCCGGTCTGAACACCACGGTCCTACGGACACTTGGGAGGAACCCAGGAAGGACAAATTTCGTGTTTTTGCTAATAACGGTGACCATAGTTGTATTTTTTTTGTCTTAAAACACTCACTTTGTCTTTGCTCATTCAAACAAAACTAGAAAATACCCATGGAGTCTACTCATCTGGGAAATCGCATTTTTAACGTCAACTCCCAGAGAAATCGGAACTGCAAGTCCATGTTAAAAGCACTAAATATATGTTTACCTTACATCTTCCTGGCATAGGATCGAGAACAGCCACAAAACTCTCTTAGGGCTCAGAATCAGTGGCAGCCTCCTTCTAGAGGAGGAGGGGATGCGATTTTTAGAGGAAATCATCGGAGCCCAGAGCTTCTGGGCTACTAGTTTTAGAAATACGTGAAATCAGAGTGGGATTGGAGGCCAAGCCACGACTCTAAAGGACCCAGGACGCGGGATGCGGCGGCGCTGCTGAGCGTCGGGGACAGCAATCACTCGCAGGGAAGATCACCAGTGACCCTCTCAACGTCTCGCCTGCGATCACTCTCTCCCACCTCTCCGCTTCTTTAGGAAACCATCCCTACCTACTACAACCCGGCGCAAACAACTTGGCGCGGGTACGCAGCCAAAGCATGCTGGTTGCTGTCTTTCTCTCAGCCCAGCTGGAAAGAGGCCCCGAGCGCTGGTGCCCTGCAGCCCGCACTCCCGCCGCCCGCCGCCCCGGATACTGACCAGCTCCTTCTTCCTCTTCTCCTCCTTCACGTCGGTCTTCTTGATCTCAGCTTTGAAGGCCTCCGCCTCGCCGTTCTGGTCGTCCTTGGCCAGCAGGTCCATGAGGTAGGCGATGTAGCTGGTGGCCAGGCGCAGGGTCTTGATCTTGGAGAGCTTAGTATCGGCGGGCACGTTGGGGATACACTCGCGCAGCTCCGCGAAGGCGCTGTTGATGCTCTGAGTCCTGCGCCGCTCCTTGCGGTTGGCGGTGCCCCGGCGCTTCACTGGCCGCGGTCCCCCCAGGCCCGGGGGCCCGGCGCCTGGCGGCACCCCCCCATAATGGGAGGGGTCCAGGCCCGCTGCGCCACTGGCGTACTCCGGGCTGTAGGACAGGGCCATACTGTAGTCGGGGGGCGACATCTCGGGGTGGCCGATGAGCCAGCCGTGGAAGTAGGGGTTCTCC